AAGAAAAAATTTTATATCATGCATAAACATTATTTTAACCTGTTCTATCGATTAAACCTGAATCGTCCTATATGTATAATTCTGTTAAATAAAATGTGTCCACTTAAAGTAATACATATAAGAATTAGAATTTTTTTCGCTAATTTGACTGACTATTTTTGATCCCATCAAATCTAAGAATCCTCTTTAATTGAATGCAATATTTTTAAACAAAAGCTAACTATACTAAATAAAATATATTTCTCAAAAATGTTTAATCGTATTTTTTGCACTTTAAATCATTTGAAACGTATATATCTAATTGCTACATTTTCAATTATTAACCAAAAATACCTTACATTTCTATAAACAATCCTACCAATTTTTTTTATTTCATATACAAATTTATTAATCTATGACAAGACTACTACGAGATATTGTCATTAAAAATTACAACAGAAATTTGAAATACTTATATTTTTCTCTGATACATTTCGTTTTAAAAACATGTAACAAATGTACCTATTTTGCAACAAATATTGTGACGTTCCATAAAACACTTAATTTTCTGAAAATTATTAGAAAAAAATTCTTAAATTTTTTACTTATGTATACTAAGTGGTCAATTTCAATTACGATGCAAGTTACAAACTGTACATTGATGGAATAGCTAATATAGATGTTCAAGCCCTTTTTCCAATTTTAATGCAGTGTACAAATAAATCTTAACTAACGGAATTCAATATTCTTCCATAATTAATCATTTACATACAACCCAGTATTTGAGTGTGTTCTAATTAAACTTCATCGTTTTGTTAAATTTACTCTTTAATTAACTATATATTTTTCAATTTAGATCGATTTACCATTATTCAAAAGTTTATACATACCGTGATGTAAATTTTTTTTCCACTAAACATGTTAACATACAAATACTGACAAGTTGATTTATATCGTATAAAAAGTTTAACAAAAGTACAAATTTAATATATATTGAATTAGATTGGAATATCTTCATATATCTAACTCTATAAACAAAAATGCTTACATTTGTTTATAACAATCCCAGAGACCCCATTATAGCAATTTTCTTATACTTTGAAAAGTTGAAAAAGTTATTTTTAATACAATTAAATAAAAATTTTGCTTTGAAAGAAAAAATGTTCTAAAGTAATTTAATAAAATCAGTTTATATATTATGAAAACGTTTTCTTTTCTTATTTAAGTCTATTACAAAGCAAAGTTTATCTAATGTATAGTCTAATACGTAACCCTACATATTAAGTACATATATATTTTTCGCATAAATTTTCATCAATCATTTCCTATAATTAATATTATTTAATCATTTCAAATATTTCTCTAATATATGACATATCATAATAAAATAAATTTACAGATCAAAATTTTCCAACCTCATTATACAGAGCGATTCAGGTTTCAATCTGAATAACTTCAGAAATCGAAAGAACAGGTATAAACTTTTTTCTTAAATCGCATCATTTCGGTGATAGGGAGCTTTGAAGTAGAATTATTTTTCCCCATTTTTTAGCACTAAAAATACTTTTGAAATAATACTTTTAACGGTGATTTTCACAAACGTCAGTTTATACAAATTAGTGTGACTTTTGTTTCTCATGTACTATAACGTTAAATAAAATTTATAAAGCTGGGGCACTACATTGTCACGAATTTCATTGAATATCTCAGAAACAAGGCTAAATATCGAAAAAAAAACAAGAGACGAAACAGTTTTAAAATTGACAAGACACAAGTGGTATGTAGCTGTTTTATTAAAATTAATTTTTTTAAAGTTTTGAAAAAATGTATACAAAATGTATACAAAATACACTTCTAAGAGGGGTAAGTGATTCAAACTTAAGAAGCTTATTTTATTTATTAGTTTTATTTTATTTTATTTCATTTTATTTAATACACTGTTCAACAGGTACTATCCAATTATAGAACAGGGATTTTACAGACAATAATAAAAGAAGTACATTAATTACAAACAAAATTAAAAGGAACAAAAAAAATTCCATACCATCATAAAAAAAGAAGGAAATAAATAAAATCTATACACTAAATAATACACATTAATGAAGATTAAAATTTCATATTGGAAATTATCAGACTTTAAAAATAAAGTATATTTAAGTCATTAAGACTGCAGTCAAAAAATCTACAAAATTTTTATTACAGTTGCAGATTTTATAAAGTGATGAATGTTTGAGTATATTAGTACGAGGAGTTGGTAATAATTCAACAGATATGAGGGGAAGTGAGAAAAAAAATTCTGTTTCAACACCCTCTATCTTCGAAACGATGCGATTTAAGAAAATAGTTTATATCATGAAAAAAAATTATTTCAACCTGTTCTATTGATTAAACCTGAATCAGCCTGTATAATTCTGCTAAATAGAAATTGTCCCCTTAAAGTAATACAAGAATTAGATTTTTTTTCACTAATTTGTTTGACTATTTTTGATTCCATCAAATCTAAAGAATCCACTCTAATTGAATACAATATTATAAACAGAAGCTCACTATACTAAATAAAATTTATTTTTCAAAAATTTTTAATCATTGTATCTTTTTCACTTTAAATCGTTTGAAATATATATATATATATTGAAATGATACGGTTAATCTTGATGATTAAGTTAGAGACCAAAAAATTATATATTGGGGATGTCGTCAATTGGTGGTTGAAAGAAAACTCTTATTTAACTTAAACCAAGCTTTCGATAATTATTTATTATCTTTTTCAAGTTTACTGGCTAAAATGTACAACAAAACATTAATATAATGAAATAATTACATAAAATGGGTACTTACTTCAGTTGACAGAGTTACATCTTAAAACTTAATGGATAGTATAAAATTTTTATTTTTATTTTCATTGCTCTGAATAGCTGTCTAGTCTCGACTGAATAAAATTTTAAACGTAAAATAAGTCTACTAAGTATTAATCTTATCACAGACAGGCAGGGAGAAAAAACTGGAATTTAATTTTTCTAACATAAAAAATTTAAAAATTATGAACAATTATAAATATACAATGTCAATTTTGTTTAGATAATGCCAACAAATATGAGTAATTCATAACTAAATTTTGTGTATCTCTTTTTTTATTTAACGCATCATCATTAAAGGCTGTTTCAAAAGCTTCCAAAAAAATTCTTTTATTATAATTATTTTCTGTACAAATCACCTTTGTTTCACTAAAATTTGGTTTATGTCCTGTTTCAATACTATGCCCAGCCAAAGCACACGACTGTTTTTTTAATCTAATATCACTCTTATGTGATGTTATTCTATCCTTTAATACCCTAGACGTTTGACCTATATAAATTTTATCACAATTGTTACAAGGAATGCCATATACCACCCCAGACCTTTTTAAATTATCATCAGTGTCTTTTAATTTACTATGTATATTGCCAATTTTTTTTGTATATTTTTGTGTTAATTTATTGTGAACTGGCCCTTTATGCCTCTATTCCTTTTATTGAAAATGTTACTCCAAATTTGTTAAATGTTTTTAAAAATGAAAATCACATTAAATTAACACAAAAATATACAAAAAAAAATGGCAATATACATAGTAAATTAAAAGACACTGATGATAATTTAAAAAGGTCTGGGGTGGTATATGGCATTCCTTGTAACAATTGTGATAAAATTTATATAGGTCAAACGTCTAGGGTATTATTAAATGATAGAATAACATCACATAAGAGTGATATTAGATTAAAAAAACAGTCGTGTGCTTTGGCTGGGCATAGTATTGAAACAGGTTAGTGAAACAAAGGTGATTTGTACAGAAAATAATTATAATAAAAGAATTTTTTTGGAAGCTTTTGAAACAGCCTTTAATGATGATGGGTTAAATAAATAAAGAGATACATAAAATTTAGTTATGAATTACTCATATTTGTTGGCATTATCTAAACAAAATTGACATTGTATATTTATAATTGTTCATAATTTTTAAATTTTTTATAATAGAAAAATTAAATTCCAGTTTTTTCTCCCTGCCAGTCTGTGATAAGATTAATACTTAGTAGACTTATTTTACGTTTAAAATTTTATTCAGTCGAGACTAGACAGCTATTCAGAGCAATGAAAATAAAAATAAAAATTTTATACTATCCATTAAGTTTTAAGATGTAACTCTGTCAACTGAAGTAAGTACCCATTTTATGTAATTATTTCATTATATTAATGTTTTGTTGTACATTTTAGCCAGTAACCTTGAAAAAGATAATAAATAATTATCGAAAGCTTGGTTTAAGTTAAATAAGAGTTTTCTTTCAACCACCAATTGACGACATCCCCAATATATAATTTTTTGGTATATACATATATATATCTACTTGCGACTTTTTCAATTATTATCCAAAAATATCTTACGTTCTTATAAACAATCTTACCCAATTTTTTTTTATTTCATATACAAATTTATTAATCTATGATGAAACTACTACTAGGAATTGTTACTAAAAATTAAAACAAATTTGAAATATATTTTTCTCTGATACATTTAACAAATATAATTTTTATGCAGCAAATATTGTTTCATAAAACATCTGCATTTTCCGAAAATCATTAAAAAAATATAGCGAAAAAACAGAAAACATTAACATTCTGAACGACCTTTATATTTTATATCAAAAATAAACTTATATTTTTCTCCGATCTCTTCAGAAACTCCATTATAACAATTTTCATTGAAATACGTATTTAAAGAAAAATTAACTATCAATTTTTGTAAGACCTGTAACAATTATAATAAATCTGAATATTTCATCTTTTTATAAAAATAATTAAACTGTTTTAAAATAATACATTGCATCCCATTAAATAAACACATCTATATACATCCTAGAATTTAATTTCTTTTAATATTAATTTTCCAATATACTTTAATGTTATAAATCAGAAACATTCTATTTAAACTATAATTAAAATTAATTTTTTAGCACCCACCGGTCTGTTAAAACGGAAGTTTTCGAGTGATTCTGAGGATGAACCGCCTCAAATCGTCACTGTAGAAGTTATGATTCATCAGAATGCCGATGCTCATATCGAACAAAACTTCCCAGGACCTTCATCACTTATTGCAGCTTCTACACATTCTAATAACACTCCTGTACCAATTTTAGCCCCACCAATGCCTCAAGATGTTATAGAAATTGGTTAGTCCTTTTATTAATTTATTATTACTAATAAATAATATAGAATAAATTAAATAACCGTCAAAATCATTTACCTTTATAAGTCACTATTTTTATTTTAATCTTTTCTTTCCAGAAGTAGAGAACATAGGTGATGAGATAATTCCTGAATTATCTCCATCTTTATTAGATGACCTCCAAAATGAATTTGCTGATTTACCATTTAACAATCGGAGACAAACAGCAAATCAAATGGATGCCGCCATAGCTGATATTCCCACGAGAGAAGACATTCAACAAGATATAGAACGTCTACGGAATATCGAAAATCACTTACCGACTACCTTCTGGCTAGCGAAAGAATTGTACAAGGCGGAACTTACAATTTAGGTCCACTCGATCAAATCTGTACTCATTGTTCTGCTTTCTATTTTCGTGTAGAAACCACAGTTCGTAGGCATTACACAAAATGCTGTCAACAAGGTAATGTAATTTTAGAAAATTTCCCACCTATGCCTGATGTTTTAGAAGCTCTTTTTCAAGGCTTGCATCCGTCTTCTGCCAACTTCAGAAGACATATATTATTATACAATTATAGTTTTCAGTTTGTATCTTTGGAGGCAAACCTAAGAGATCTCCCTGCAAGAGGTCCGTATGTGTTTTGTGTCAGAGGAAAAGTGTATCATCACATTTCCAATGTAAATATTAATGAGCCGTTGCAACGCTACGGACCTATTTATTTTCTAGATCTAGACGAAGCTATCGATGCCCGAGCACAAAATAATCAAGTCTTAGACAGACGATTAATTGTTCTTTTGGAACAATTGCTAAGAAATATAAATCCTTACGCTAGGGCATATATGCATTTACGAGAACGTTACAATTTAGAACTACAAACTATTGATAGACTTCGAGCAGAAGCCGTTCGTAATAACGTAGCACCTCCCCCTTTACAAATGCCAAATGTAACATTAGAATTGTTAAATGTTCGTGGAATGAACAGAAGGCAATATGACTTGCCTAGAGTGGAAGAAGTTGCAGCTGTGTACAGTTTAATGCCAGATGCCCCAGCAACTCCTAATATGCGTATTTATGTACGCGACGAACCCACTAGATTCCAAAATGTCTCAGAGGAAAGTGAGCATAATGATCCGTTAGTATTTCCTCTACTGTTCCCTCACGGAGAGCCGGGATGGTACATAGGAATTCCCCACAGAAACGGTAATCGCAATACAACATTATGCGAATATTATGCCTATCGTTTTGGAATTAGAAATAACGATACCAGACTTAAATATGGAGGCAGACAAACGCAACAATTTGCTGTCGCTGCATATATCAAAATCGAAAATAATCGCCTCAAATATATATTACGTAACCAAGAGAGGTTAAGAGTGACAGAATACGTTGGGTTGGCCGATTACCTACATCGTAGGGTCCTAGAAGGCAATGAGGATGACGAGGCCGCAACATTGGGTAGAATGGTTATTTTACCATCAACTTTTGTCGGATCTCCGCGATACCAACAACAACTATTTCAAGACGCCATGGCAGTTGTTGGACGCTTTGGTATACCCAGCCTTTTCATTACGATGACAACCAATGCACGATGGACAGAAATAGAGGACAATATTCCCGCAGGTTATACTGCGAGCGACCACCCATCTCTCATGGATAGAGTGTTCCAGTGCAAATTAAATGAAATGGTAGATGACATGCTGAAAAAGCACATTTTTGGGATACACGTAGCTAACCTCTACGTTATAGAATTCCAAAAAAGAGGGTTACCCCATTGTCATAATCTACTTATTCTAAGGGACCGAGATAAATTAACAGACCCTCGCAGAATTGATGCACTAATTAGTGCAGAAATACCAGATCCGCAATTAGAACCAGAACTGTATGAAATAGTAACCTCTTTCATGGTACACGGCCCTTGCGGAGAATTAAACCCAGAGTCGGTTTGTATGGTGAATGGCCAATGTTCTAAAAAATATCCTAAAGAATTCAGTGAATTTACAGTAATATCAGAAAGAGGGCAAGTCATATATAAAAGACCAAACAATGGCAGAACTTTGACGATTAGAGCTAATAACAGAAACTGTATTTTAGACAATCGTTGGATAGTTCCTTATAATCCCTATATCCTACTAAAGTATAAATGCCATATTAATATAGAGGCTTGCGCTACTACCCAATGCGTTAAATACCTTTATAAATACTTATTTAAAGGTGTAGATCTGGCATTAGTACACATTAACGTAGAAAATCAAGCGAATTATAATGAGGTAGAAAACTACTTGAACGCTCGGTATATGACTCCTCCGGAGGCCTGTTGGCATATCAATCAATTTGAAACCCATAAAAATACCCACACCGTTTATCGGCTTTGCGTTCATCTACCTACCAGGCAAATGGTTCGTTTCCAACCTGGATTCGAAATACAGGCACTAGAAAATAATGAAATTACCCAACTAACGGCCTGGTTTCTGTTAAATCAGAATGACCCCGACGCCCGACAATATCTACACCGACATTCCATATCATTACGTATGGAATAATAGAACTAAACGGTGGACCCGTCGCCAAAGGGGTGCTAATAAAATTGTAACGCGAATGTATTCTGTGATTATACGTAATCAAGAATTATATTATTTACGTTTGTTATTGTTACATGTTCCTGGAGCAAGCTCTTACGAGGAGTTACGTACACTAAACGGGGTCATTTATGACACCTTTAAAGAAGCCTGCCAGCACAGAAATTTATTGGAAGATGACGTTGAGTGGAAACGAACCCTGAGAGAAGCTTGCTCTAGAGATATGCCATATCAATTAAGAAGCATGTTCGCTTTCATATTCAGTTCAGAGCGAACAGCCCAGCTGAGCGGACGTGTTTGTTTGTGAGGTGAAGTGCATTGCAACGAGCAAGATCTACCTGCCTTTATTAAGGCTACCTGGAAAGAATCCCTTTCTTTCCTTTTAATCACCGACCTAATCCCCGGCTTAAGCATAGACGCCGTCGGCATCGTTGTTACAGGTACCTGTGCCGGGGTTATGCCCAGTAAGTTTTTACTTATTTAT